ATAAGCTCTAAATAATTTTTGATATAAACTTCTTTTGCTACTTGGTTATTATATTTTAACATAGTATCTAACTTATAATGATTCTATAAATAGTTGTTAACTAGTTATAACATGCTACCTAAAAAAATGTATGACAGAGCGGCAAACAAAATCATTTGAAAGTAAATACTTGCCAGCATGAGAACATTGGCTAACATATGCATCATCTGATATGATTCTTTGAAGGATGTTTGATGTCTATGGACAACCCATGCTTAGAATATGTGTAAATAATATGTAGTTAATGTCACCAATAGAACAACCAGAGTAGCATTGATATTGTCTCTTCTTCATCCTTTACAAATGTGCACTCGCAAGCATATCTGCATATATTATCACACAAACAGATTACATAAACAAAGTTCTATTAAGAACAGTTTCTTTAAATAAAAAATCCCTTACACATTCTTTATAGCAAGAAAAAGACTTTTGGAAATTGAAAAACGACGTCTAATGATCTGCTCTTCATCTTCCTCACCACAATTTTCTTAAATTTCTTCAGCTTGGTTGGTGGTGGAAGTGGATTCTCAACTCCATTACATGGTGTGATATGTTCAATTACTGTTTCTTTGTCAAGAACCCAGTAAAATTTGTGTATCGGCTTGCTGTGTGAAGTTTGGGAGATTTTGACTCTTGCGGTAGAGATGAGATAGGTATTCATGAGTTTAAGCATTTCTGCATACTGTTCAATTTCATCTGCATACAGTACTGCCTTTATTTGGCATTCCTGAAAGTAAGAGTTGTAGAGATTTGAGGATAAGTTAAACTGTTTATTAAGAGTAAAATAAAACAAAAATTTTCATATGAGGTAAATATTAAAAAAGGAGAATATTGATGAGATTAAATGTAATGAGCTCATTTGTTCATCTTCCAAAATCAAATTTTGGAATCTACATTTCTTGTCAGGGCTTTCTCTCGGGCGTCCGATTTCCACAATTTGAACTTTGCAAATCCAATCTTGTGTTGTTAATGCTATTTGATCGATGTTCAATCTTAGTACCATGTTTGTTAGAAATGTTTAACCAAGCAGTAGTATCTGCAAGATAGCATCACTATTGAGTGAAAATCCTTTCTTTTATGTGGTTGCATGAACATGAACAATTGAATTAGGAAGAACATGCAAGAACATATTGTCTTCCACATACTGAAAGTATATAATTTGTAATGAAAGTACAATAGGAATATTTGTAATGAAATTCAGAACATGCAAGAACATAATTATCCCTAACTCAGTGAAACATTAGAAAATATAATTTCCTCAAATCTGTCTGCTAGTAATAAAATTGAAATTTTAAGTGAAAATAACAAGTTTAATTTCTCCAGTATTGATTTTCTGCTTTGATGATAACAAAAATCTGGAAGAAAAATTGAAAATGGGAAGAGGGAAAACATGAAAAGGGGGAAAATACCTTAGAAAGAGAGCGATATTTTTTTCTTCAGGAAAGGATGAAAAGTTTGTGC